TTAAGAGAGCCAATTATATGCCTGTATAGGACATTTGTGAAAAATATATATACTTTTCTTGTGCCTTTTCTTTTGAGATAAGCTTTGTAACATTCTGTCAAGCTGCTTCATGAAAAGAAAGATGAACTCACACACTCAGGAATTCATAACTTAAAGGTCCAGTTTGTAAGATTTAGGGGGATTTAGTTCACCTGGTGAGACCATCCTGATGACGTGAGCTCAACTCTCTGTATCAGTCTGGATTTGCTGCTGCCCCAAACACGTTCAGTGGGCGGGAATACTCACCTTGACAGACAAACTCCTTCAGCCAATCAGCATAACAAGCATGGGAACATTGAAGTCATTACCAAACGGGGCAGTGCATAAATCAAGCTTTTGCCAAATCCAGTTGGAAGAACGATTAGTGCATACTCTTGTTCTTGTTAAATTGTTGTTATTGACTCTTCACTTATTTCTGTTTACTCTACTAACATTAGAGTTAGCGCTTGTTGCTTCAGGAGCCACCATCACTGTTGTGCAAGTGGTGCCCTACATTTTCCATCATCAACTACAACGCAAGCCCTGATTAACTGCTTATGTTGTCAACTACGGTAGGATCCCCGATTGGCTCTGACTGGATTTTAATTTCTGGAAAGTGTTTGGGGCGGCACAGAGTCCAGACTGATACAGGGAGCGAACCAGAATGTTGAGCTCAAGTCATCAGGATGGTCTTACCAGGCTAGGATTTAGTGGCATCTAGCAGCGAGGATTGCAGCTGAAACCAGATGTTCAGGAGGTTTTTACCAGGAGCTGAATTATCTGCAGAGGTCTCTTCCTCTCCAAGACTAACAGACCTGATGATTTAAACAAGTAAAGACACTGAATAAAGCAATTTCATGTTACAAAATTAGCGGTGGTGGAACATGGTGATCTCCATAGATGACAACCCGCTCCTTACATGGTTAGAAATGACTCATTCGAAGGTAACTTAAACACAATTTTTATTTTCAAGTGATTACACACCAAAGATATATATTATATTCCATTTCTCCCGATATATGCCCCTAAATCCTACACATGGGACCTTTAATTTCTCTGTAATTGCTGTTATTTATAGCCATAACTGCATTGTCACAAACAGCGCTACCTTTGTATATTATTGATGACATCATAATTTGGGTTTTGGTCAAGCTTCACTCTTAAATTCATCTCCTGGTGAATAAAAAACAGTCTCTGGTCATCCTCTGTTGTCTTGAAAGAATGAACTTTATCACAGTACTGGCTCCAGGAAGCAGACACCACACATAATATCAGAGGCTGCAGAGGGTCTGCTCGATAATCGCCCCTAATTACACCCACGAGGACAAGGTCATAAAGAGGGCCGTGTTTGGCTCTTTGTTAGCTATCTTGTCTTTTTCTATAAACACCAGTTAGGAGCAGTTGCCAACGAGCGTACACTCTAAGGTGTGTGTAATTTTCTGCCTCAGCTCCCAATCAATTATTTTGCCCCTCAAATAAATGAGATAAACTGGGAAATAATTTATCCTTGAGCCAAATGCAGCTGCTAACGAGCCACACACATTGACAGGCCTGAGCCGGCCGAATGTGACGACAGAGGGAGATAAAGAGGGAGAGATAGTGATCCAGTTACAGTGAGTGCTGAAAAGGGCGGCAGGTCAGCGAGGCAGTCCGACTCCCAGACTGCAGCTTATATGGAGGGTTGAGAAGATATACTCACTGTGTGGCCCATCCTGGTCACTGTGGCTGTCTGTCCGTCTGTCTGTCTCTTCTTCTACCTCTATGCTGCTGCATTGCGGCGACAGCTATTGAGCCCAGTCCTCATCACTGGCTCGTTGTTGTTGCTATGAGCTGAATTGTCAGGAGAAGCAGCTCGCAGCCATCTCTCTGCCCTGCCAGGGTGTAATGCGTGCAGATAAGCACACGCCACCCACACAGAGACAAAGTAGGAGTGCACACTTACAGTACATGAGAATGAACATGGGGATATTGACACAATATCACAGGCGCACACACATGCAGATGCAGCTGTGGGACTACTCACTCACTTTCTATCCCTGAAACACGCTAACACATGCACATTAAGAACCCCCTGCAATCAATCAAAGAAGGGAATGAAAGTCACCTTCTTCTCCAATTCAGCACTGCAGTGTTTACACAGAAATATACAGACAGACAGGTGGAGGACAGACGAGTCAAACACACTCTGTTACCTTCAAAGGTCTTTTCATCCAAAATAAAAGGAAACCCCTTTTCGTGATATTCAAAGTCAAGAACATCCGTCCTCAGAGCTAAATTTGTCTTTTTCTCCCTCAGTATCATAAATCTGCGTCCGGCTTCATCATCCCAGCAGTCAGCTTGTTAGACTGTGTGATGGATGATCTTAGCTGATGCAACAGATCAGTTTAAAGGCTATGTAGGCGTCCTCTCCTGTTTTCTCGCCTAAATAAACGACCCCATGATGGGTTCATTCACACCATTTAGCAACATAAAGCCAGGGCTGATTTCATGTCATTTGCAGCGAACACAATCAGCTGTTGCGCTGTGGAGAAACAAGTTGTGGCATCATTACTGCTGCTCGCCTCCTTGATGGTTTGCACTTTGTGGTCAATGGCAGCAAGCTGGTCATTAAGACCAAATCGGCTGTGACATGCAGAATGACGCATATTGCAGTAAACTGCCTTAAAACTACGAATTCCACTGATTCTGTTTGAGTGGCCATTTAAAAGTGAAGGGCAGGAAAGTGATGATAGTTAAGTGTTATTCTTAATGATGAACCTGCCATAAAATCAAAGTGACAATCAGCTCTAAAGCACCACACAAACACTAACGCTTACAGATTAAACTGAAAGTCTTTTCTTGTCCTGAGTCAGCAGCAGTTGACAAAATATTTTCAACTTAAGGTCCACACTTGTTTCAAAGCTTTCGGCTGTACCACATGGCTTTCATCCACCCCTGTATCCAAGGGATTACTTCCATATTGAATGATTCCACAAGTTGTGTGCTCTTTATGAGGAAATGACCTTTCACTAAGCCCCACCCCTTTGTTATGGTCAGCATGGAGCCAGAGAGAAGCAGACAGAGGGGTCTACAGTCTGTGTTTGAAGGATATATCCAGGATGTCAAACTGACTCAGCAGCAACAACAGGTTAAAAAGACAAAGATAGTTAGAAGCTAAAGCCGAACTATAGGCTACAGATCACAGTGTCAAAGTGAACCACCACATCACTGCTGATCGCCACACAAGACAATGAATATAAAGGGAAACTTTGCTGATACTGAACCAGCTGTGTGGCATCGCAGTGTGTGCAGCACCTGGACCTCCACCGCCGGATAGGCAGGGATCTGTTGGTTGAATATCAGCAAGCTATCAGCAATTAAGCTTGACAGTTAATTCGAGGCCTTTGAAACAATAGTTGACAAAACTATTTCAAATCTATTGAGATGTGGTTGTTGTTTTTCAGACGTTTGTTTGCCTGGTGTCGTCAGTTAACGAGGGTTAAATTGATCTAAAAATCAACTCAATGTACTGACTCCAATTAAGTCTAGCTGTGAAACAGTGACTGTGTTGATTGTCCAATCAGAGTGGAGTATTTGACAAAGCTGTAGGGTTCAGTATAGAAACATACTGGACACACTAGGTTCACTTTGCCCTTTTAATAAAAAAATAAATGTAAGATTCCTTTTTTTTTTTTTTTTTTTTTTTTTTGTACATACAGAAAACTGAGATTTAGACATAGATGTCAAGGTCAGACTGAACAACGGCCCTTTCCTCCTTGTTCATTCAGAGCGATCGCACCAATAACCTGTGTCACTGCAGGCTCAGGGAGCGTGGAGACTGTTGACAGGATGTCAATAAGGCAGCGATTGCAAGCAAGCAACCGGTGTGTGTGTGTGTGTTTGTGTGTGTGGGAACATCATGTCTCAGGAAGCTGGAGACAGACAGACAGAGAGAGGCTGGCTTGGATAAGTGCATGTGAATCATGGTAGTCCTGTGTTTTAAATATCTGTGTGTAATGTTAGATGCCCTGTCCTGCTACTGCAGAATAGTGTTGTGTCGTTCGCAAACGAATCGTTCAAAAGAACGAATCTGTTGAGTGAATGTACTGAACTGAATCACTTCCGGAAGTGATTCATTCATTTCTCAGTTCAGTTGAGCTGGGCAGCGAGTGTGCAGGCTGGGAGTGGAACTGGCAATTCGGTCCATGTGAATGATGAATCATTCGTGAGTCGCTAGGCAGCCAGGGTGCAGGGAGGAACTGCCTACCACGTGACGAATCACTCAGTGAACGAATCACTCAGCCATAACATTTGGTTATGGTTATGGAAAGGATCATGTTTTGCCTTAAAATACGCAGTTATGGGGGCTCTATCCAGAATTCAGTGATATCTCGGTAAGAAACAACTGCTTTTTGTAGCACTGTCCACACAGAAAAAAAAGGGACAAGTCCCTGAAAAACACCCATGTCTTGGAGCTAATTTTAATGATTTTAAATGTAATAATAATTTATTTTTTAAGTTAGTTTCTTATTGCCTTTTCCCATGTTTGTAAAAGAAATCACAGCAATTAGCTCAGGTTCCAAGGGTTTAAATACTTGTGAAAGGCGCCCGAAAGTAGCACAAGAAAAGTGACGTCGCTCCAGGTTTCAAAGGGTTAAAGCTCTCGATGATGTGGCTGAAGCACACATGAACTTTTCTGCCCATTTACAACCACACAAAGGAGATGAAACCAAATCTGAAACCACCCAGGCTCATTTTAAATAATCTGGGACGACTTTATGGACCAAACCTCTTTTCCTTTAATTTCGTCAACATATTTCTGGTCTGCCGTGTTTTTTTTTCTTGAGTAACTTTGTGAAAAAAGGGCAATATAAAAACATTATTATTATTATTATTATTGTAATTATTGTGAGCTGTGTGTATGGTTCAGATGATTCTGCTGTACTCTCTTTGGTGCTTTATGCAAAATACTTGAGTCATTCTAATAAGTCGGCCAAATGAGCTGATTTACCGGACATTGGAAATCTAATGAGAGCGGAAGAGAGGGCTGGAAGTAATATCAATGAGTTTACTGATGAATAATAACTCATTATCATGCCCTTTGTCTCTTCATCCTCATTATCTCGCCCCCTCACATTCCCCTGACATTACTCTCTCCTCTCTTTTATCCACCAATTCCTCCTCTCTGTCTTTCATGGCTTTGCTTCCCTCTTCCTCCCTCCTTCCTCCAGGTCTGATCGTGTACCTGGGGATGATGGTCGGGGCCTTCGTGTGGGGCGGCCTGGCAGATCGGATCGGCCGGCGGCAGACCCTCCTCATCTCCCTCTCCATCAACAGCGTGTTTGCCTTCTTCTCGTCCTTCGTCCAGGGCTACGTCTCCTTCCTCTTCTGCCGCCTGGCCTCAGGTGTCGGGTAGGTAGACAGATGAGTCACACAGGCAGAGGTGGAAGTGAGACAGTCACTACCACGGTGGCACATCAGTTGACTTGACAAGCAGAGCAACGCCACGTGTCAGAGAACAGATAAAAATACAGTTCTCACTGCTGTTTGAGGAAATCCACCCTCAGATTCTTGGATGTCTGAGAGGTTTTTCTGCAGTTCAGGAGCTATTTTTCAACAACGTGTGCAATGTGCTTTTCAATGGTTCCTATTTCCTTCAGACTGTTTTACTTAGGGAAGTAATTTCATTTACTTGAGTCAACAACCTCCACACAATAAGCCTGAACTAACCGTTTGCTTGAAGCTGGGTGTAAAGGCATGTAAACACAGCCACTGTCATGCTCCTTATTTGAAATTAATAATTTGTGGCTTCCTTGCATTCTGGTCTCCTGAGGCTATTTCTGCCTGTGCTGCTGGATGATGGTGGCTTTGGTGAAATGTCAGCGTAATGGCAGCCCTCGCTCTGATTGTTAAAGTCTTTGAAGCATGACCTTCACCAGGTTTTTGATGTTTTGGATACAGTGGGTATATATTAACTTAGTTTTACTTACGCAAGAAATATTTCCATATGAATATTTCTATTAAGGTTTTGTTAAGGTATGCATAGAAATGAAAAATACATCACTTAAAACAAAGTGGGCCCAAAATAAAGTGTTCATGTTTCTATTAAAGGTCCAGTGTGTAGAATTTAAAGAGATATTGGCAAAAAT